TCGAGGCTGGGGGCGCGGCGCTTGGCCCTGCGCCGGACGCTGGGGCTTGGCAGGAGGAGCCCCTCTCCGCGCCGGGCTGGCTCCCCGACAAAAGGTCAGCGGCATCCCTGGTGCGGAGCAAAGCCTGTCGCAGCCACGCTTGGGCACATGGGCTCGGCCTCCCCGGAGGCTCACTCCATCATCTCTCCACGTGCACAGGCCCAGAGAGCTCCGCACCCACCTCGGGGCCATCTCCTCCCTTTGGCTCACCAATGGCGGGTGACATGGACCCTGACCACATCCAGACAGCCTTAAGGGACTTCTTGCAGGAGCTGCGGGACACCCAGCGGGAGAGGGTAAGAGTAGGTCCAGCACAGGGCTGCCCTCTCTGCCCGTTGCCACCCACGACGTCATGGGCCTTGCACCAGCCGCTGGAGCTGTGTCCTGCAGCTGTGGGAGCTATGGGCCCATAGGGAGCTGGAGGATCATGCTTCCTCCACACGCTTTCTGAAGTAGACTTTTGCCCTAGGGTAGGTTGCAGAATATGCAACACGTTGGCAGATGCTGCAGTTTCATTGCTCGTGTCCCATGCTCTCTTTTCCTATGCTGCCGTCCTCACCTCTTGCCATGTGCTCTCGCCCTAGAGAGCTCGGCAGGTTCCCAGCATCCGCCCTCTCCAGCCTGGCACGGGTCATGGGAGGGAAGGAGAGGGCTGAGTGCTGGGGTGGGGAGCGGGGGGCCAGAGCAGCATTTCCTCCAGCCCGCCAGGCAGCCGCGTGTCCTGGCTGCTGCGCACAGGGCAGAGGAACAGTGCTGGCGAGGGAGCTGGGGATAGCACACAGAAGGGAAGGAAGGGGAAACTTGGATCACCCGCTTTCTCAGCTTGGGGTGGCCATGGGAGGTAGTTCTCTGACCTGGCCAGGAAAGGAGGCCAGACACAGGATGCCAGGCCAAATGGGGACACATGAAGGCCTGGATTAGTCCTTCCAGGAACGGCCGTCTCCACACACATCCGAGCCAGGCAGTTTGGCCCCCGGCCAGCCCTGTGGTTTGCCAAGTGTTACCCCCTGGGGAGAGACAAGCCAGGGGAGCAGCGGGAAGGGGCAAGATCACACCAACAAACTACATTTCTTTTCACTAAAGAGTCGGCCGCTTCCCCTCTGCCACCCTTGAAGTGCCTCGGCCCGCCCCACTCCTAATTTTCACTGCACGGGAGCAGCGTTAGTGCCAGTGGTGGGTAGCACTGGTGATGTACACTCTCTGTCAGCGCCCAGCCCACGCTAAGACGTGTTGCCTGTGCCGCCCCAGGACTCTGCTGAGGCCCCCCAGTTCCCGGCGTAGCACTGTGTCCCCGTCCCGCCCCCGAGCTGACCTTCGAGGCATGGATGGAGCAATCCATTGTCCGGCCCACTCCCCTTTGGCCCTCCCTCTGTCATGTCCTGTTGCTCAAAACATGGTTCTTGTAAAAATGCATAAATATTTACACAAGAATAATTAAAAAAACATGCTCTGTCAAATAATCAAAGCACCAGAACATCCGAAGAACTTTCAGCCAGATTGGGAAATCAATTATTGCTTTACGGCTCCATGCTGCGAAGTTAGAGGTGTTCTCAAGCGTCCCCAGCCCTTCAGGCCGAGGGACTTGCTGGTGCTGGAGAGAACGGCTGTCTTCAATTGCATTTCTCCATTAACGCGTGGAGAAGTGACGCCACTTGGGTTTGTGGGAGGTTTGATGTCTTAATTAATAGCCCAGTTGCTGTTTTTGGGACCACAGTTGAGGGAGGCTTTCACTTGTGCCAGCTGAAGCCTCCCGCTTTCTTGGGCTCCAGCCTGGAAGAGGGTTGTCCCTCTCCCAGCTGGCTCCTCTGCTCCCCAGAGGCAGCTGGGAGACTTCACCAAGCACCAATTTAGGTCTCACATCCCAGTTGCACCCTGCGTCCTGCACCAGGACCTGCAGGAGCCCAGAAACTCCAGCAGTGCCTTGGGCCAAGTGTTGCCTGACAATGCTGTGACACTGAGCCCCCCGTTTTCTCCCAGTGCAAGTCTTGATGCACGCCTGCGGTCAGAGGTGAGCACAAGCAGGTCAAGTTGCGTGATGGGGCCAGGCCAGGCTTGTTGAATGGCAAGGTGGAAGCACACGCTAGCACGTGAGCTCTGGATGCTGCGGGATGGTGTGGGGGGCTCCCCGGCAGGATCAGGCAGTACTCAGGATATCCAGAATGCCTCGGTAACCTCTCCTCCGTGGGCAGCGGGACATGCCTGCACTCAGACGCCAAGTCGAGCGGGTGCTGTGGGGAAACTGGCAGTGCCCTGGAGCCAGCATGAAGCAATTCAAACCACTTGGGAGGTAAAGCCACTGTGTAAGGTCCATGCTTGCAAGCCAAGCCTGAGGTGTTGTGCTCCAGCATGGAGACATCACAGACCTCACTCTGCCGGAGGTCTCTGAGCTGCTCTGAGAGCCCCTGCTCTCCTCTCTCCTTCCACCACTGCTTTGGGGGCTGCCCCCTTCCTTTTTAGAGCCTGAAGCCATTTCCTTCCTACCAGGATGATCTGAGGATTCAGGTGATGAACCTGAGCCGGCAGCTGAGTGAGACGGAGCAGGCCCAGGAGCAGACCCATGAGCGCATCCTGCAGCTGCAGAAGTCACTGGCTGACTCCGAGGAAGGCCAGTCTTTCTCTTCTCCCTCCTCTTCCCCACAACTACTGGGCACAAGTAGTCCCTACCCGGCAGGTTGCCGCCGGCAGTGGGAGCAGACGATGAGCCATGAAGTCGGGGCAGAAGCCCTTGGTGCTGGGGTCAGGGAGGAACCCCATGCTCACAAGGCACTCTCTGTGGAGGGCGGATAGGTCTGGACTGTGGTGACCCCATGGGGATGCTGTGCAGGGATAACCACCAATCCCTCTTGGAAGCATCTCTGCCGACCCCGGCCTCTCCCTGGCTCCCCACAGGCAAGCGTGGTGCAGCCGGGCGCCTGAGCAGCATGCAGCTGGCTCTGCGCCTACAGGACGAAGCCATCCGGAGAGGCGAGAGGGAAAGCCAGAGCTTTGCGGAGCGCGTGGTAGGACTGGAGTGCAGCTTGCAGGCCTGCCGGGACAAGAACCGCGAGCTGGAGGTGAGCAACAGCTGTGGTGGGATAGGCACCCGGGGAGCAGCGTGGTGGGGGACGCGGTGCTGCCTAACGAGCAGAGGACAAGCTGAAGGCCATTTTAGAGGGTGGCTGTGAGCAATAGAGGTCTAAGCAGCTGACAAATGCCCCCCTACGTGTTTGCTTAGGGGCAGCAAGTGGCAGCACGTGGCAGCCCTTGTGCTAAAGCTGCCAGGCCAGAGGCTGGGAGCAAGAATTTTTTGCCTTGTTCCTCCCCCTGGCTCCTGGGCTTTGCCCGGCTGGACTGGGATCGGTTCTTCCCATGGCAAACGCTGCCAAGCTCAGTGTAAATGCCCCTGGGCTGCCAGCTGTCCCCATCATGCATCCCATGCGGGTCCTTTGTGTGCTACACGCGCTCAGAGCGGTCCCCTTTCTCTCCTTCACGCTGCCAGAGGATGCTGCAAGCGCCGAGGTAAGGGGCAGCTCCTCTGGGATGGAGCAGGGGCTGGGGGAGGCGGGGGTCATTGTCCGAGCTGGTGATGGTGGAGGCATGCGGCGGGCATGAGCTGGGCTAGCACAAGGCACTGTTGGAC